AGAGGAGAGTACATTGCCCTTTGTTTCCTTAACAGGTTGGAATGTTAGATCAAAAAAAAACCTCCCTGGCTTAGAGGACAAAACAGCTACCTATTATGCCTACAAGAAAAGGGACCTGTTAATGCCAAATAGACCCAAATGGTTCTACAATATAACTGGACGCTCAACCTGCTCAATGTAAAACAGAAATGTTATTGCATAGCTTTAAAAATTTGTTGTTTCTATACAAACTACTCAGGAATCATTAGAAATAATCTGGCCACACTACAAGAATCATTTGAAAAAAGGAGCCCTGAGATGAGGTAAATAACAGGTCCCCATTCTCATTTCCAGGTTCCTTCTAGATAGTAACTGATGTCAGCCACCACAGGGCCTTTGGCCTTTCTGCCTCTGTGAATTGCTTTTGGCTCTTACATCAATGGTGCCTTTACTAAGTGATAATTCCTCCCTGGGTACAACTAAGCTTACGGATATTAGATCCCAATATAAATAGGTACCCATCACCAAGTCAGGGATTTGACTCAGTATACAACTTAAGGGGAGAATGTGAGAGCCAAAGTTACATTTTAAGTTTTAATTAATCTCTATGCCATAGAGATCCATGAAACAAAATGTCTCTAATCTGCCAGTCCCTTGCTCAAAGACAGATAGTTCCTGAAAGGCTGGAGGCTGTTGTTTAGGGGAGGTAACAAAACTCATCTTTTCATTCCCCTAAACAAGTTTGTTTGATCTGTCTGCACTGGATGTTCTTGAGCACCTGTGGGTGGGAGGTTCACAGGCAGGAAACATGTCAGGATGTATGCTTGCCCCTGATTGGACCTGATGGAAACTACTTAAGCTGTTGCAAAAGTTGAACCAGAGATGGACCTGTCCAGAGCCCATCCGCCTGGCCAGTATTTAATTAAAGCTTGCTTCAAATTTGGCTTTAAACTGTGGTAGTGTTCTTATTCTCAATTAGTAGGATTAACAGTGCCTTGGAAGAATCTGACACCTCTACCCCAAAAGGGAACAAAATCAAAAGCCACCTGGTATCTTAGTTTGGGTTTTATTACTGTGAGGAGACACTATGACCACAGCAAAAACATTTAATTGGTGTTGGCTTACAGTTCAGAGCTTTAGTCCATTATCATCATGGCAGGAATCATGGTAGCTTGCAGGCAGACATGGTGCAGGAGAGGTAGTGGAAAGTTCTATATCTGGTTCTGTAGACAGCAGGAAGCGAATGCCGTACTAGGCCTGGCTTGCACATCCTGAGACTTTAAAGCCCACCCACTAGGGAAGAACTATTTCTAACAAAGCCACACCTACTTCAACAAGGCCACACCTTCTAATCGTGGCTTTCTCTAGGAGCCCATGAGGATCATTTTACTTCCAATTCTGAGAGCTATAAATGGGACCAACCTAGGCTCACCTTGGGGAGCCTCCAAGGGAAGCATGCCTGTTTTGTTATGGAGTCCATGACCCCTGGGAAAAGGCCATAGACTTGGTCCAATTATAATTAAAATATTTATTGATTAGCTGCTAGCAGGATGACAATCTCTGAGCCAAACTTGAGATTGCCATGAGAGGGGTGCAAGAGAGGGTTTCTTAAGGCAAAAACCACAGAAATACCTTGAGTATCTGCACAAGCAAGTCAAGAGTTGTTCTGCCAAGATTAGGTAGTTAAAGTGATCTGAATGTCTGCATAATCAGATTACAGAAATCAAAAGGCAGTTATTCATATCCTAACAAATAGATGGTCATGGCTGCACATTTCTGGGTGGGGGATTAACTGAGTCAGAGTCACTGGGACTTAGCTTACAGGGACTGGAGTCAGAGACAAACGGCTGTTAGGTACCTCGATGGATGCCCGACATAAAATGGAACTTCTTTGGCTATCATATTTAATGTCTCCAAGACAGCCCATAGATAGCTTCCCCTATGCAGATTACTGTGGCCCTACACAGCAAATTAATTCCCGGAATGCTGGTTTAGTGTATTCCCAGGCTCCAGAGACTACCAAGACTGCTTGTACTGTGGCTTAACCAAGTGTGCATTTTCTGAATCTTTTGCACTGGAGGAGAGCCCACACCTTTTTGTCCTCAACCGTGTTATACCACGGGTGTTCATCTCTAATGGAGAAGAGGAGAGACCCCACCTAAGTCTAGACTCTGGGCTTCCCCATGCCCAGCGGGCCGTTCCATTCTCATTCCCCTGTTGGTGGGGGCAGCATTGCAGGCTCCACTGCTGTTGGAACTTCAGCCCTAATCGTGGGGAATAAAAACTTCAAAGAACTAAGTGCTCAATTAGACATGGACCTAGACCATCAGGAAGAGGTTCTTCAGAATTGAAGAGGTCTGGACTTCCTTCATGAAACAAGGAGGTTTCTGTAGGCCACTAAGGCACAGGCTTGAATGGGCTCATATTTCATGGGTACCGAGATAGGCCAGTTTGAGCTGATGGGCCAGATGACTGGAGATGGAGATTTCCTTTGGATAGTAAGTTAGTTTTTGTGGAGGCCCAAAGATGTGAGCCTAATTCACCTTGTCTGAAAGACAGAGAGTTTGAGTTTATTTTGCTCACTCAAAGTTGTTGACAATAAGTGTGGCTACACACCCTGACCTACGGTGTGGCTACTTTCTGTTTTAGACATTAAGATGGCCCATAGAGGTAGATCCACTCCCCACTGACCAAAGGTCAGAGAATTTTAAGCATACATCTGCTCCTTATTTTGAAATAGGAGGTTTGACTTAAGAGTGGTTGCCTGCAGGATACTTGGTCTTGTGTGTTTTCATGCCCCAAGCATCAAATACTTTTCTCAAGAATTAATGGCTTGATGTCTTAAGTATTGAAGCAAGTAACTGTTCTGGTTGTCCTTTGCATAATGTAAAAGCAGTCTTTTGGCTTCTCCCCCCCCCCCTTTTTTTGAGACAGGGTTTCTCTGTAGCTTTGGAGCCTGTCCTGGAACTAGCTCTTGTAGACCAGGCTGGCCTTGAATTCACAGAGATCCGCCTGCCTCTGCCTCCTGAGTACTGGGATTAAAGGCATGTGCCACCACCTCCTGGCCTTCCCCCGTTTTGTATTGGGGTATAAAAGTGTATGGAAAAATAAACATACACTTTATGAGTGTATGGGAGAACTCAGAAGTCAGAACAAGAATTCAGCATGCAGTAATCGCTGAGTTGCCCTGCTGTTACTAACCTACGCCTCCATATTTCTTTCTTATCTCTGTTCTAATCCTCATGTCCCTACCCTGGTACATACAAACCTGCCCCGGCTAGGATTGCAGCAGATGTCACCCCAAAAATGTGGCTCCTGACAAGTTTTCTGGGTCCTCTGGATCCTGGCCATTCACATATGACCTGACTCTCCAGTCTGCAGGTTTTCCTGCCAGGCCCTAGCCTTTATGGATGTGGGATTCCATCGCCTTAGACTAGTGAAATAACAGGTAGATTTTGATGGCTTTCTCTCTAGGACTCTGAAGGGATCAGTGTACTCCCAGAAAGGATCAGTTTGGCAATCTCACTGAGCACATTGGTATTTGCCTGGCTCTTGGCAGATCTGGGAGCTGACAACAGGGCAGATATAGTATTGGTTAGATGGGAGCCCTGTTTCTTCAATGGTGGACCCACAGCCCCAGGAGTGGACTCCTTTGCGGCCTCTTTTCTCAGTAGCCTCTGGGTGTAACATTTTCCAGAAGTCCACCTGGAAGGTGTGTTGGGTCTCAGTGAATAGATTAGCTACAAGCTTTCCAGTTTGGGTCTCTGTCCCATTTTGACTGGTGTTGCGACCTACATGCTGGATCCTAAGATCAGAATGGTGCCTTTGACACTGTGGTAGTTTGAACGTAATATTCCCCCATAACCTCATAAATTCATAGGGAGTGGTACTATTAGGAGGTGTGGCTTTGTTGGAGTGAGTATGACCTTGTTGGAGGAAGTGTGTTACAGTGGGAACAGGCATTGAGGTTCCATATACTCAGGATACTGCCCAGTGGTCAGTTGGTTTCTTCTTGCCTGCAAGATGTAGCAGTCTCGGCTCCAACACCATGTGTTCCTGCACACCACCATGCTCCCTGCCATGAAGACAACAGACTGAACCTTTGAAACTGTAAGATGGCCCCCTCAATGAAATGTTTTCTTTATAAAAGTTCCCAAGTAAATTAAAAAAAATAGAATTCTAAAAAGAAAAAAAAAAGTTCCCATGGTCATGGTGTCTCTTCACAGCAATAAAAACTCAAACTAAGACAAACACTGTATCAGAGCTAAGGTCTAGGACCCTTGAGGTTACAAGAGCACTTACTGCTCTTGCAGAGAACCCAGGGATAAAGCCCTCAATGCCAAGCCCACCCCTGAGGACCTCCAACCACCAGGCTCCACCCACAGGACACTGCCATATGGGTGGACCCCGTCCCTCCAGATGCAGGCAGTCAAACTCTGGCTTTGATAACTCACCAATCCCTGAGCTTGAAATCCTATCCATACCTTGAACTTGTCCCAAACTCAGGATTTGAAATCTTACTGATCCCCAATGAAAGTTTTTGGCGCCCTAATAAACCTCTCCGCTGAGGCAATAATCCAAATCAGCACCCACACAGCAGCTCACAACTCCAGTTCTAGATCTCTGACTCCCTTTTCTGGCCTCCACAGGCACTGCACACACACAGTTCACAGACGTATATTCAGGCAAAACATCCATACACATAAATTTTCAAGAAGTAAATCTTTTTAAAACTTAAAGTAGCAGTCCGTATGATGTTGTCCACTTGCGGCAAGAGTGGCAGCCCGGAACCTCAGTCCTGAAATTTTTGAGCCTGTATTAACCACAGGACTAAAAGAATTTATGATGGAAAATATCTCTGTACAACCAGAGCCTAAGATTTTTTGAAGACATGGCTGTGTACTTCACAGAGCAGGAACTGGCCAGCTTGACACTTGATCAGTAGGCCGAGTACAAGGATCTGGTGCTTGAGAACTTTGCACATGCGGCTTTACTGGGGCACCTCTCAAAAGTAAGACAACATGTTCAACCGGCCGCCGAAGCAGATGATCCAGGGTGTAGGCCTTTCTCTAAGTCAGCTGTGCTGGGAGACGGATGAAGGAGGCGAGGTCAGCCCTGTCACTGCTGTCAGGCGCAGTGTTTTCTGTAGTCATGCATATTTCCGTCCAAGCAGATGTATTATTGCTTTTAGTTCATTAAAGTTGCTCATTATAATGTGCAAAAAAAATAAATTTTAGGGCCAGGTGTAGGTAGGGATGCATGCCTTTAATCCCAGGATTTTGGAGGCAGAAATAAATGGATCTCTGAGTTCAAGGCCAGCCTGCCCTACAGAGAGAGTTCAAGAACAGAAAAACACAGTCTTGAAAAACTAAATAAACAAATAAAATTTAAAAATTTAAAAAGAAAGAAATGCATGGTCCCTTTTCCTCCAGCCTGAAAGGAGCCTTGGCTACAGTGCTGCTTTCCAGCTAACGCGATCACCTGGCTTTCTTTATCTTCTGGAAGCTAAGGAAAGACTCTGCAACCAATTTTAAATTTTATTTATCATATTTAAAGTATATTATATTTTCATATGTCTCCCTATAGCAGAGAGAGTTAATATTGTTGGCACAATTTCCTAGAGACAGGATTTCACTGTGTGACCTTCACTGGCTTGCTGCTCTCTCTGTGAACCAGACTGTCCTTGAACTCACAGAGATCTGTCTGCCTCTGCCTCTTGAGGGCTGGGATTAAAGGCAAACATCACCAAGCCATGCTTGCTGTCTAGATTTTATACAGGACATGGAGTACTTATTTTACAAAATATAAAGAATATTTCAAAAAAGAATAGATCTTAGATTTAGAAGAATTAATGGGAGTGTCTTAGGTTAAGAAAGACAAAAGCTGCCAGGCAGTGGTGGTACACACCTTTGATCCCAGCACTCAGGAGCCAGAAGCAGGTGGAACTCTATGAGTTCAAGGCCAGCCTGGTCTACAGATTGAGTTCCAGAATTGCCAGGGCTACCAAAAGAAAGCCTATATCAAACCCCCACCTTACCCCTCAAAAAAATACGAAAGAAAGAGGCTATAGTTAATTTTGACAATTTATGTTTGCCTATTATCTCTGTAATCACTGATATAAAAGACTGCAGATGATAAACAGAATATTTTTTCTTTTCTTTCTTTCTTTTTATTTTTAATTTTTTCCCCTGGTTTTTCGAGACAGAGTTTCTCAGTGTAGCCTTGGCTGTCCTGTAACTCGCTCTGTAGACCAGGCTGGCCTCAAACTCACAGAGACACCTGCCTCTGCCTCCCAAGTGCTGGGATTAAAGGTATGAGCCACCACCACCACCAGGTTACGATGAAATCTTTTAATAATAGGCACAATTTTGAAAACAGATCTACGTATTTGAAGTTAACATAAATTTTATGGTTATTATATAACTCAGTAGCATCCTTCAGAGAAATACATTTTTTCTACTGTTAAGGTAGTGGCTATCTAGCAAGTAAAGGCATTAGCCAATGGAAAAACATACGAATAGTATTTAGAGAAATCTGATTATCATTTAAAATGGTTTGTTTAGTAAAAGAACATAAGGATCTTTAAAAAGAAAAAAAACTAACTTGATTCCCAACTATAACCCAAGCCCTAGCCCTAATCCCAATCCAATAGCTGACGCCACAGGCTCTCACAGTAAATCTTCCTGGGCAAGGAGCGAAGCATGCCTGGGGTGCAGCGCTGACACCTCAATCACATGTCCCAGAAGTCTATGTTACTCACAAGTCAGTCAGACGTTCTGATATCTTGTTGGGGAGGCGGGAGGGAGAAAGTCGTATATGCGGGGGGGGGGGGGGGCCCCGGGTTTCCCCGAGAATGGAGTTGATGCCCGAGCACGACTGGGAAACGTAGGCCACGTTCGCTCCGCGCAGGCGCATTTCCCCAAGACGCTTGTCAAGCTGCTCTTTGAGGTGATCTGTCCTTGTGTGGGGTTCAGGTTCTCCCGCTCTAAGGCCATCTGAGCATTCATTGGCCAGTTCGTGTGTCCCTGTGTCCCGGAGTTTGTCTGTCAGCTGTGCTCCACTCCCGCTGGCCCCCGGGCGCCAGAGTCCTAACCCTGTCCCCAAGAAGAGTGAGAAGGAAGTCGGGACGGATGTGTGACAGCGACAGGGCGAGAGTGGACCCTGCCTGTGTGTCGGTGGGCTAGTGTGGGGGAGACTCGAGTCAGCTGGACCTGAGCTCCTGGGAGACGGGGGTCACCGAGAGGTTGCCCTGCAGGCTGCTGTCCTTGGATCCCGGCTGCAGGACCCGATGAGGTGGCTATGGAGCGGCTCAGTCCTTTTTCAGGCGATGCTCAGAGGGTCGCCATGGAGACCTTGGCCCTGGCACCAAAGTAGACAGGTACACCTTCACTCAGTCTCAAAGAGTGGTGGAATTTCACCTAAAGAGGACAACTCCCAGAGAGGTCAGGCCAGATTACCCGAAGCAGCATCACTTTTGGCCTGCTTGTCCGTTGAGCTTGCTTGTCTCAATCAAACATGCTGATGGGAGGAATCAAATGGCCATGTTTTTCCTCCTTAGCTGAAGTGTTTGGGACACGGAGAAGCAATGTTGATCCCTGAGACTATGTTAGATTGTGTCAGATATGAGGCCCTTCCCCACACTATACCTGTCCTGTCTTCTCCGACTTCTAATTGTGTCAAGGGAGTGTGGACTTTAGCGCAGCTGTGAGCCTGGTGGGTGTGGATAAACTTGATTCATTTCTTGACTCATTTCTCCATCCCCAGCTCAGGACTCCGCTCTTTCTCCCAAAGAGACTCCTCAGGATAAGTCAGACTGGGGACCCCTGGAAGCCAGGTCTGAGGTGAGTGACTGTCTTTTCTTCATTTACAAAGAAGATGGCCACATTTCTTGCCCAACCCTGGATCTGCCGTCAGCCACAGACCGGCGATTGGGCACCTGCTTTGCAGTTCTTAAGGGGCTCTGGATAGCCAGAGCAGCACCAGTTAAAGAATCCCGATGATACCTGGGTCCCCACCAGTCAGACTCAGCTGTCAGGAACTGCTGGCAACAGTTTTCCTCCACGGTCATTTTGCTTAACTTCACCTGCGGGCCAGGACTGGAGAGACCTTGAGGAACATTTAGGGGAGTTTACAGGCAAGGCTATATGGGAGTCCTCAAATAAGACCGACAGTAGGAGGGGCTGGAGAGATGGGTCAGTGGTTAAGGACACAAGTTTGGTCCCCAGCACCAACATGGTGGCTCGCACCACCTCCAATTTCAATTCCAGGGAATTCAGTGCTCTCCTCTGGCCTCAGACATTAGGCATGCACATTGTTCAGACATACACAGGCAAAACACTCATACACACAAAATAAATATTTACTGTTATTTAAGTGGGCATCAGGGTCAGTCAGTGGTGGTGCACGCCTTAAATCCTCACACTCAGGAGGCAGAGGCAGGCAGATCTTTGCAAGAAAAGGATAGAGAAAAATTTGCCTTCACAGTGCCTACTTATAATAATTCTCAGCCTACGAGGAGATATCAATGGACTATCCTCCCACAGGGGATGCTCAATAGTCCCACATTGTGCCAATATTTTGTTAATAAACCATTGGAAATAATTTGTAAGCAATTTCCCAAGTCCATAATTTATCATTATATGGATGACATTTTATTATCTGATTCAAATAAAGATACTTTGGAAAGTATGTTTGAAGAAGTAAAGAAAGTCTTGCCTAGGTGGGGATTACAAATTGCCCCTGAAAAGATTCAAAGAGGAGATTCTATTAATTACCTAGGTTACAGAATAGGGTTAGAGAAAATTCGAACGCAAAAGGCACAAATTAGGAGAGACCCGTTACGGACTCTTAATGACTTCCAAAGATTGTTAGGAGACATTTCCAGTCTACGACCAGCTGTTGGGATAACATCTGATTTAATAGTTCATTTAAACAAAACCTTAGATGGTGATAAAGATTTGAATAGTCCCAGAAAATTGACAGTTGAAGCAGAAAAGGAACTGACAACGATTGAGGAAAAATTATAGGAGGCACATGTGGATAGGGTGAACCCGAATCTTAGTTCCATCCTAGTCATACTGCCTTCCAGAATTTCTCCTACAGGGATTTTAATGCAGAGGGAAGATTTTATTTTGGAGTGGATACTTATAACTCATAAACCAAGTAAAAAATTAAAAACTTATGTAGAAAAGGTCTCTGAATTAATTATAAAAGGTAAACTGAGACTTCGTCAACTAGCAGGTATAGACCCAGCAGAAATTATAGTGCCTTTTACTACTGAGGAAATAAGAAAGTTATGGGAAGATAATGAACCATGGCAAAGAGCTTGTGCTAATTTTTTGGGAGAAATTAGCAGCAACTATCCCAAAAGTGATAGACTTAACCTCATAAAGAGAACTTCTTGAATTCTTCCTAGAATTGTACGTGATGTTCCAATAACTGGAGCCCGGACATTTTATACCAATGCAAATAAATCAGGGAAAGCAGGTTATAAATCGGAAGAATTGAGTAAGGTGGAACAAAGCCCTTATAATTCTGTCCAGAAGGCAGAATTATATGCCATTCTTATGGTGCTAAGGGATTTTAAAGAACCTCTTAATATAGTTACAGATTCACAATATGCAGAAGGAGTTATCTTGCATATTGAAACCGCTGAATTCATACCAGATGACACAGAGTTGACTTCATTGTTTATCCAGGTGCAGGACATAATTAGGAATAGGCTTTGTCCAATGTACATAACACACATCCGGTCCCTTACCGGTCTGCCTGGCCCTCTAGCACAAGGTAACGATGAAATTGACCAATTATTGATTGGAAGCATTCTGCAGGTCTCAGAATTTCATAAAAAACATCACGTCAATAGTAAAGGCTTAAAGAAAGAGTTTTCCATTACATGGCAACAAGCTAAGGGCATTATAAAGAGATGTCCTACTTGTTCTTTCTATGATCAAACACCATTGCCTGCAGGGAGTAACCCAAAGGGTACTCAAAGGAATGAAATCTGGCAGATGGATGTGTTCCACTTTATGGAATTTGGTAAATTAAAATATGTACACCACACCATAGACACGTATTCAGGTTTTCAATGGGCAACTGCCCTGAGCTCAGAAAAGGCTGATTCGGTAATCACACATTTATTGGAAGTTATGGCCATCATGGGTATACCTGCACAAATAAAGACAGACAATGGTCCAGCATATGTATCTAAGAAAATGAAACGCTTTTTTGTTTATTATAATAGAAAACACATTACAGGTATACCATACAATCCTACAGGTCAGGCAGTTATAGAAAGATCAAATCATACTATAAAGGATATGCTGAACAAACAGAAAGGGACGAAAGATACCCCCAGAAATAGATTGCATAATGCTTTATTAACCTTGAATTTTCTTAATGCTAATGAGAAAGGAACAGCAGCAGCAGAGAGGCATTGGATAATGGAAAAAACTTCTGAATTAAACCAACCTGTTTATTTCAAAGATGTGCTGACCTCTCAATGGAAGCCAAGAGATGTGCTACGTTGGGGAAGGGGTTTTGCTCTTGTTTCCACAGAAGAAGAAAAATTGTGGATACCATCAAAATTAATAAAGGTTCGATTTGAAGAGGAGAAACCTCTTGGAAAGGAGAAATGACAGCTCATCTACAATAATGATATTCATACAGGTGGTAAGAAAAACATATAGAATGGGGGCAGGGTTCTGTTCTTATCTCCACAGGAAAACACTCATCTTTGAAAAATTCAAGGGGTCCTGGATATTTGAATACTGACAGATGGAAAATAACTGCCCAATAGGGACTATCAAGAAACCTGAATAGGTTCTGTAAGTAAAATATACTAAATCATATTTCTAAATTTATAGAGCTGGTTTTGGAGTTGGACTCTGACTCAGTCCCTCTCTAATTCCAAGCCTGTTGTTAAAAGAAAAACCCAGAGTTTCTGGAGTTTCTGTCTCATGTCAAGAGCCATGATATGGGACAGAAAGAAATATGAGTTTAGAAAACATCTTTACTTTTCTTCATATCTATCATACTTTTCATTAAATATATCTATCGTGCCTTTCATTGAATATATGTATGTCATTATATGTCTATATGATTACTGTTTAAGTTTTCCACAATGAACAATGAGTTTTTCCTTCAGTGACATTTGAAGTTTCCAGGAAGAAGATGGGGCCCCATAACAACAACTCCACCCGGTTGATATGACGTCATGATACTGATAGCACTACTACAAGGCCTGTTTTGGGTACCAGCTGCACAATACGGTTCCAACGTGGTTAGCTGAAATGGTGCACATCTTGTACAACATTCTGGCCAGACCTCCTCAAAATACTCAGAGACTATTTGCAATTTTAAAAGACATTGATCTTGAAATTTAACCATCATTTTACTTTTACAGGATCCCCCAGAAAGAACGTCGCCCCCATGACAGCTGGAAGTAATTCTAGAGAACAACGTCCCCTCTCCCAGTAAAGTTTGTCCTTGGGTTTAGGGACATCATTTAGGGGTTGGTTATAATTAGTATACAGTTGAGGGTTGGGGGAGGAATTTTATAAGCGCAGAAATCTTTAAAAAAAAAAAGAGGGATAATTGGATTATGGAATAATAGATTTGTACTTGTGAGTTATTGTTTTTAGACAAATATATTGGTATCAATTCTTATATATTGATACAAATTAAATTATGTTGACTATTGTATGCATGCATGTTTCTACCTCTGTTTAAAACATTTTTGTGTATTGATATATATATTGTATTAATGTATGTATATTTACCATATTGCATTGTACACTTCTACCTCTGATTAAGATACTTATATATTGTTTATGTATTGATATATATATTTACCATATTGCAATGTATACTTGCACATTGTTTATATTTGGAGGTCATATTGTCCTCATTTATTGCACAGTTGTTTATTGTCTCAGTCTTTAAGTTAGATAGGTATTGAGAATTATATAGATCAACAGTCATCTAAGTTTGTCATTTATAATTAGACTAATCAGGTTCTTTAGATACATAGAGATTATATTCAGTATAGATAGATAATCTTCAACCTCTTCAAAGAGCTGTTGAAAATGGCCTTTAATCTAATTCAGAGTTCTGTGGCAGTGAGACACAATCGCTCCTGGCAACACCGAACTATTCCCGAGAGAATGTTGAGCACCAAAGACACTCCACTTGGAGCCTTTCTTCTTGCCAGAACTGGCCTTTGGGTAAAGAAATGCCCATACCTCAACTACTGACAGAGCTACAGAATATCCGTAAATGGATAAAACAGGACTGTCATATCCTGCCAAGACAGGGTAAGATGGTTTTGAAAAGTTTCTTGCCTTTGAAAATGGTATGTCAGTTTCGTCAGGCCTTAGCTAAAGTTGGTTGCTTCAACACTGCAAACATGACTTTGGGTGTTTGCCCAAGTAGCCAGTTGTCTCTGTGATTTGTTACATGTTCTGGAAGTTGTTTGATTGCACTTCCTAATTACTCAGGTAACATTATTTCCCTTCTCAGATCTTTGATGGAATTGAAGATTACATAAATGTAGTTACTTTCCTCTCATGACTTGGCCAAGTTATTTGTTGTACAAGACTTAAGCTAGTTAGAATAGGATATTTGTATTTATTGTATATAATTTCGTAGGTTTGTACTTATTGTATATAATTTCGTAGTAGGCTTAGAACTCTCTTACTTAAACAAAAGGGGGAGATGCTGTGGGAGCTCCTTCTGCTTCTTCAGCCAATAGCCCCTGAGAGACCAGCCCATTGGGGCGTGGTCTCTCTCTCTTTAAAAAAGCAGTGGTTGTCCTCCACTCCCTGTCTGGCTTCAGGCTCTGCTTCTGGCTCCTAGACTCCTTTCTTGTTCGCACGGAGGGGCTGTTGTCTGGGACCGTAATCTGTAAGTTTTCTCCCCTTTGAATAAATAACCATTCTATTAATCATAATTCCAAACTGGTGTGAGACTGTTTGTGACTTATGCCCCCTTGGGGGGGGGGGGGAGAAAGAGAGAGAGAGAAAGAGAGGCTGCCCCAGTGTGGTAGTCCATTTTACAGATGTGTTAGTGATGAAATATCGATTTGTCACATCTTTTGATATCAATTTGATCGCATCCTCCAATCATAATTAGCCTCCCCCCAAGTCCATGCAAGTAAAAACGTATATACTGCTATACTGCACTAACGGTTTAGCCTGGGGCCTCATTTTAGTTACCCAGGTAGATCCAGTCTTGCTGTCTTTCTTCCTCGTCCACCCAAGCAGCTTGGGTCATAGGTGTGTGCTACCCTGTAGGCTGTGGCCTCCCTTTTGAGGGCTTTTACCTTTGATACTTTCTCACCCGTGATCCATGTTATCTGGTCTGCCTGGAATGCACATGGAGGCCAGAGGACAACCTTGGGTGACATTCCTCAGGAGTTGTTCACCTTGTGTTTTGATACAGAATGTCCCAATGGCCTGGAGCTCAGGAAGAAGGATGGCCTCACTGGCCAGCAAGCCCCAGGCACCCAGTATCCAGTGCCAGGATAAGCACGCACCATGCGCTCGGCTCTGTTATGTGGGTTCAGGCCTTCACGTCCATGTAGCAGCATTTTACCAGCTAAGCTGTCTCTGTGGCTCCAGTTCTACCTTTTTAGCTAGAGTTTCTGGACCATTACATCGAATGTTATTGGCAATGTGGCTTGGGATTCTATATATAGCTCTCTCTATACCATGTGTCACTTTTGTTTCTATATTCAAATATATAGTCCCTCAGCACCTGTGATTTTCTTTTCTCTCTCTCTCTTCTTGATTGAATATTGGACATTGCAAATTACATTGGTGAATGCTGCCCTTTTTTGGAATTCCTTAACTATTTCTGGGATTCACCTGGGAGTAGTAAAAATATGTGGCATCAGTTTGTTCCTCTAAAGGATGAAAGTAAGTTGGGGATGATGTGGTGGCGGGAGCCCTGGCAGGGATTTATGAGGCAAAAAGGAGTAGATGGCAGGCTGGGCCTGGGTGCCTGGGGCCACAGATTTTCTGAAACATCATTCTTAGAAATAATCGTTTGCAGCCTGGAGTTGGATTTTGTTGCGGTGATAAATTTTTAGTAAAGTTGCTTTATTCTTGGTACCAAATATTCAAGGTTTTGTTTGGTTTAGTTTGGTTTTACAAGACAGGGTTTCCCTGTTTAACAGCCTTGGCTATCCTGGAACTCACTTTGTAGACCAGTCTGGCTTTGAACTCACAAAAGTGCTTTGATCAAAGGCATGTGCCACCACACCCAGATAGCCAAGGTATTAAAAAAAAAAGATTTATTTGGGGGCTAGCAAGATGGCTCAGAGGTTAAGAACTCTGACAGTTCTTCCAGAGGTCCTGAGTTCAATTCCCAGCAACCACATGGTGGCTCACAACCATCTGTAATGAGATCTGGTGCCCTCCTCTGGCCTGCAGGCAAAATACTGTATGCAGAATGAATGAATGAATGAATGAATGAATGAATAGATAAATCTTTAGATTTATCTTTAGAAAAAAGATTTATTTTTATTTATGTGTATTGGGGAGATGCTCATGGAGGCCAGAGAGGCCCTCTGATTCCTTGGAACTGGAGTTACTGGTAGTTGTGAGCCACCCAACATGGGTGCTGAGAACTGAATTCAAGTCTTCTGAAAGAGCAGTCAGTGCTCTTCAGGACTGAGTCATCTCTCCAGATCTCCTGACTTTCAAGTGTTTAAGTTTGTAACATTTGGCCCTAGAAAATAAAACACTCTACCTAAGAATGTGCAAAAACTAGGAGCAGGTTGCAGGGCCCGTGGGTGCACAATGTCCACCCAGTCTCACTGCCAAAGCCCAAAGGCAGTGTGGTCAGGTCTCTGCCCCGCCCCTCGGCCTTTGCACAGGGCTTCCTGCTTCTGAGCTCAGTTGCTGTTCACCCAGGGCTCTCTAAGCTTCCTAATCCTAGGCTTTCTTGGAACAGTGGACTCCTATCCTGGGTGAATGAGAATGTATGTGTCATTTCAGGAACCGGTGACTTTCAAGGAGGTGACTGTAGACTTCAGCCAGGAGGAGTGGGGCCAGCTGGATGCTCTTCAAAGGGCTCTGTATCGGGAAGTGATGCTGGAGAACTACCAGAACCTTCTTGCCCTCGGTAAGATGGCTCCTCCAAAGCTGAATGTCTGCTGTCAGCTTTCTTCCCGGGTCGTGTTAGGGAAGAGCCCTTCAGGATCAGAGCTGGCCGTCCAGGGTCAGCCATGCCAGAAGGAGCCAGAAAGCCACATCCTGGCTTTGAGCTGTGAATAGTCCCAGAGCCAGGCCATGTACGAGAGAGAGAGAGAGAGAGAGAGAGAGAGAGAGAGAGAGAGAAGCCTGATGAAGAGGTAAGGTGGGAGCTAGGAGCTTTAGAGCCTCTTCGCCCCAGAGCTTTACCAGGTGACCAAGAGGGATGCCGTGTCTGGATCTGAAAGTGCATGCTGTGGCAGGGTCTGCATCTGCCACACTTCAGTGATTTGGGGCCCACGGGTCTCGTGTCCTGGTGGTGGCACCCCCTTCCCGAGGGCAAGAAGGTTCTGGTAGTTCTCCAGCGTCACTTCCCGATACAGAGCCCTTTGAAGAGCTCCGGAAAATCCCAAGAGAGGTTTGTCCAGGTGAGCCTGTATCGCAGGAAAAGGGCAACAGGCTTCTCCGTGTCCCTTTTCCCCTCCTCAAGTAGCTCTCCCTGACATAGCCCTTCTCTCCTCGGCCCTACTGCTTTGACCCTGTCTGCACCGTCCCCTTCCCCTCCCAGCCTCCCAGGCTTCTCTCTCTGTGTCACCTGCTGAGTACCAACTGTGCGCAGGGAAGACAGCAGTGGGAAAAGCTAACCTATGGCGCTGCCTCCTGACAAAGGGCGTCTGTGAGTGATACATGAGGAACAGAAGTCAGGACACAGGTGGTAGGCAGAAGAAGGAGAGAGAGGCAGGCAGCACCAGGAAGGGGTAGGGCAAAGCCACATCACTGAAATCCCCTCTTTGGCAGAGGAGATCAAGGGCAGATCCTCCATAGGAGGCTGACATAACTTTTCTGATTAAAAAAAAAAAAAGAGAGTGGAGGGTGGCTTGTTGGGACAGGAGCTCACTCTGGCCTTGAAATCACTATGTGGTTTAAGCTTGCCTCAAACTCAAAGTGATCCTCCTACGTCAACCTCCCCACTACTGGAATATTGTATAAACTCTCAAACATCTTTTCAACTGAGTTCTCTTACAAAGTTGTTTAACGAACAGGTGAATGAGTTCATTTCAGCTTAATTGAATGCACAGTGAAGATTGACTATGTTAGGCCTCAGAAGCTTGAGAAAGACATTTCTGTGAGAAAGAGACCAAAAACGATCAAAACAAAGTTAATGTGTTTTGGGCAAGATTGCTGTGCCCGGGTAGGAGGGCACAGAGGTCAGGTGCCTTGCTGATTCTCAAACCCACCTCAGTCTTCACAGCCCCAGTCCCCAACCAGCTGCAGGTACCCAGGTAGCCAGAGACCCTACGTCTCGCCTTTGTTTCTGGCCCCAGTATCTTCTGCCTTCTTTATCAAAATTATTTTTTTAATTTTGTTTTGTTTTTGAGACAGGGTTTCTCTGTGTAGCCCTGGCTGTCCTGGAGACCCAGCTGTCCTTTGGAGAACAGGCTAGCCTCAAACTCACAGAAATTCTCCTGCCTCTGCCTCCTGAGTAGTGGGATTAAAGGGGTGTGGCACCATGCCCAGCCTACTTCTTGTATCTTTTTGAGAAACACTGTTACATCTCAAACTAAGTTCCTGCGGAACAAGGAGGGAAGGGCCCAGGTCAGAGCAAACAGTGGAATTGCTCCTGGGCAGTTAGATAAAGGATACTAAGTGGCGACCAGTGGTGGGTAAGGGAAACTAGGTGGGGGCCACCTTCTTCCACAGGCTCCCCGCAGAAGATATCCCAGGAGGCAAATCCATCAAGGTTCGTTGCCTGGGGGTGTGTTCCAGCCATTCCAGCTGTTCGGAGGGAATGCTAAAGAGGGCAGGGTGGCAGGCCTCTTTCCCTTGGAGCTCCACAGACCAGGTCCTTAGACCTGAGTTTCTGCTGATGCAGTATATCCGTGAATGCTTCCATGATTGAATTAGCTGCTGATCCCCAGACCTCCTGAGCTGAGCCCTCAAGGGACTGATTTGAAACCTGCTGCGTGTTCCTGTGTTCGGTTGGAAGAGTCCCTTTGAGCAATCCTTCTGTCGCTCTGCTTTTGTGCCTTCAGACTTCTGGGTACTTTTTGGTTCCTAATTAATTTTCTGGTTTACCTGCATCTCTAGGTCAGCAATCCAGTCTGAGTTCCAGGGCTTACCCACAGAAAATGGCACTTCAATCTCTTACAGAGTGGAAGGCGGAGCCTGAGGTGATGGAGGAGGACCTTTACAAACCAGGGCTGTCTCAGAAGCTGGTTCTGAAGCAGCTGAAGAGGCCAAGTCAGATGGGAGCCAGGTAATGCCCGAACCTGGGAGCTGCAGGATGACACAGTGTTAGGGAGCAAGGTTGTGCAGCGGAAGCCAGCTCCTATTGCCAGTGGAGACCGCATAAAGGAGAGTCCCGGCAGACACAGGGGGTCTGAAGAGGCCTTCTCTTCCCAGCAGGGCACTCCCACAGAAGAACACTCACCGGCAGATGCACCAGAGACACCCAGTCCTCAGAGGGACTGACTGACCCAGAACCACCAAAGAACAGAGAGCCACCCGTCAGAAGAGCCCCGGCAATCCCCACTGGAGCACAGGCAGCATTGGATGGGCAGGGACGCCGAGGAGAGCAGGTTTGCGTGCAACCAGTGTGGGGAGGTATTCTCGCGGAGCTCAGCTCTGGCACTGCATTTGCGCTGGCATGGCAAGAAGCGCCACGAGAGCGACAAGGCCTTCCCCTGGAGCACCAGCCTCATGAAGCACCAGCGCAGGCTCTCTGGCGAGAAACACTTTTTTTGCGGTGAGTGTGGCAAGGCCTTCAGCTGCCACTCATCTCTCAACGTGCACCACAGCAGCCACATGGGCGAGAGGCCCTACAAGTGCGGCGCCTGCGAGAAGGCTTTCAGCTGCAGCTCGCTGCTCAGCATGCACCGCAGGGTGCACACCGGGGAGAGGCCCTACGCATGCGGCAAGTGTGGCAAGGCCTTCAACCAGCGCACGCACCTCACTCGCCACCTCCTCATCCACACCGGCGAGAAGCTTTACAAGTTCGGGTGCGGCCAGGCCTTCACCTGCCATTCCTCGCTCGCGGTGCACGAGAAGACCCACAGCGGCGACAAGCCATTCAAGTGCGCGGAGTGCGGCAAGGCCTTCCACAGCCGCGCGCGCCTCACCCTCCACCAGAGGACGCACACGGGGGAGAAGCCTTTCCGATGCTCCGACTGCGGGAAGGCCTTCAGCTGCCACTCCTACCTCCTGGTGCACCAGCGCACCCACAGCAGCGAGAAGCCGTTCCGTTGCTCCGAGTGCGGCAAGGCTTTCGGGTCACACTCCTACCTCATAGTGCACCAGCGCGTCCACACCGGCTAGAAGCCCTTTGACTGCAGCAGGTGCTGGAAGGCCTTCAGCTGCCATTCATCCCTCATAGTGCATCAGCGCATCCACACTGGCGAGAAGCCCTACAAATGCCACCAGTGTGGCAAGGCCTTCAGCCAGAACCACTGTTTTATCAAACACCAGAAGGTTCACTCCAGAGAGAAGGCGTCCAAGTGCAGCGAGTGTGCAGGGGAGGCCTGCAGCTGGAGCCCACACCCGGATCACCAGAGGCTGCACAGCACCTTTCACCCAGCTCAGTAGGCACCTGCTGAGCACCTGCTGAGCACCTGCTGAGCACCTGCTGAGCA